TGAGATAAATCAATCTTCCGAAGTGATCTATAGTCCTCGTCGGTTGGATCTAGGACCCTAATGGAAGTATTGCAACAACTCACACACACACACATACACACACACACATTGCCGTTGTGTGCGAATGGGCGATTAGAACAAGTGTGACTACCTTTATCACCGTACGACCAGCGAATGCAATTCCGGACAACAAAAATAACAATGCATGAACTCTTAGGTGAATCATAATAGTGAAGACTAAATCGGTAGACTGGTACTAATTGCACCATAAACTATTCTCCGATTTGATCAATCTCTATTTCACATAAGAAACATTTGGAAAACACAATAAATAATATATGAATGACTGGAGAAACTTTCCTTGGAAGCACACGACCGGCTTCGCGGTTCTTGCCGCTCGTCAGGCATGCATATCACGTAGGCTTTTGCCTTTTCGTTCATATATTTGTACCTCGGAATTGTATTTTGTTTGAGCAGCTCTTTCAGAACCGGTAAACCGAAGAATCAATACTATGATTCGATGATTTGTAGGTGAGGCAGATGCTACTAAAAAACAGCAAGAACAATTTTGATTGCCGTGGCAGTGGTGGTGGTCGTTATGGGTAGTTCTTCAGTGTGAGTCCATCAATCGGTCTTTCTGGAAGCCAATCAGCTTAGCTTCCGTCCAATGGCAAAAGTTCTACCAGAGTTTTCCCGTTGCGTGCTCAAATCACTTTGTCAAGTGCTAATCATCATTCAAAAGTCTCAGCATAGTTCGGGTTGGATGTCTAGGGTTGCGGCTGATCAACCTTCCATTGCACATCGACAAATACTCCTACTCTACTAAGCGTCTCAAATAGCCTCTACTGAGGAAGCCCTATTCACTGGCTTCTCGTGATGGTGAAGGTGTTTCCCACCAAAGTAAGAGGACGAAAAGCCCATATCCGAGGCTATAACCGGGTTCGTGAATCACTGGTGATTCACCTAGGGGAATTGGATGAAAACCCTGATTCCAAACCAACCATGAGGAGACGTACGAACCACACCCACACCTTTTCGGTTGTGGTCACCGGCTCGATTGGACATCGGGGTGTATTGTGCACCTTGGATGTTTGATCCCGTCCAAAGGGCGTATGCGCCGATCAACTGGACACCGGCTCCCAATGGATTGTGGTTTTCGCACAGCGCTCCGCTGTCTCGCGGGTCAGATTTTGACCAGTTGAAGGTTGTGGATTCTTTAAGAAAATACATCTGAAAAAAACTAAAACAAGCCTTTCCCGAGATTAATTTCAAAAGAAAAGACCATATGGCAATACTGAACGATTTAGGTCCAGGACGATTTCGCTGCATCTCAACATGGTGCATACTGCAGAAAATACAGTGTTTATATAGGGCTTAAGCATGGCAAAAAAGTAAAGCAAAATACATAAAAAACAGACAAAACATAAAAGATAAAGATAAAGGGACCAATTTTACCAGGGTAGGGAGAGACTGACATAAAGTTCTTTTTGCTGACACAGAGGGGGCTTCCATCGATTAATCGCAATCGCTTCGGCAAACCTTAGCAATCTTGCGACTTGTGACTTGTAGACAATTCGAAACGCTGTGCCTCGGTCGACTTGGTGTTGCGTCATCAGCAGATGTCGAGCAATTGCTGAGGACGGGGTCTTGTAGTTTCGACCGTCGTTTCTATGCAGCGGACTTGATCTCGATTGGGTCAGCTGATTTTGGACCCAATTCGGAATATGTTCCACCACCCGAGTGTGTAACTGTCGTTCTGTTCGGCCCACGTAGGTTGCTCCGCAACCACATTGGAATTGGCAGATTAGATTGGAGTTGGCGTACAGAGGCAGACGTTCTTTTGCCGGGGATGTGGGTATCCTGGTTGTTCTGTAGACAAGCGATTGTTGCCCTCAGTCGTTTGTAGAGCAGGCGGCTTACGTCATCGCCTTTGAATTGAAGGTACAATGTTACCCGCAATTTGGGAACTGACGCAATCGGTTCTTTTGCAATTTTCGGTTTGCTAGGCTTATTAACAAACGCTTCGGGGTAAGCGTTTTTCGCTAAAACCTCCCGGAGGTTTAGCAGTTCTTGTTCAATTTTGTCTTCCGTGCAGATCCGCCTCGTTCTGTCAAATAAGGTCCGAACAAGACCACGTTTATACTCCAGGGGCATAAAGCTCTCGAAGTGTAAATATTGGCCTGTCCACGTTTCCTTTCGCTAAACGGATCGAGCAATCGTTCCGTTTTATACTAATTGGCCTTATCACGCGATATTCACCTCAAGGAGGTGGATTGGAATGCCAGGATCAGTCTTTTGCCATCCCAATGTATACCAGTTCGAACGCTCTCCCATCTCACGTAGTTCGACCGCCAAATATTGAATGATCAGGCGGGAAGACTTGATGAAACGCCTCCACACATCATATTCCACAACTACTAAAAACATAAAACAGTTGAAGAGGGTTATCTATTCGGGATGAAATCTTACAACCCGGAACAAGATATGACATTTCTCATAAAAATCACTATAAAGCTGTGTAAATATCGTATGGGACAAGATGAAAGTGTTCGTCTCCTGGTATTTTCATTCCCAGCCTGCAATGACCGCGTTTCTTTGTCAAGACGGGCAATCGGCCGCTGTCTTCGAGCAGTAAATTCCTCCAACCGCTGAAGATCACCTCGATCATTCTGATACTGTTGTTGAACCAGCCAATTTAACTCTGGGATTCCGCCTCAATTCGGGAATTACGATCGGTCTGTTTTTTTCGTCTGTTGACGGACTAATTTATTTATTAGTGACTATTCGATCACGTGGTTGTTGTCATCATAGCCGAGACCTGGGTGATGGAATCGGTCCGAATCATTGAGCCCCAATCTGACATCTGGTGGTCGCATGCAGTGCATGATAAAAATGTTCAATAGTTATGTCATCTGGTTTACTTTGTGCGGTGAAAGTGTTTAAGACTATACTATATGACTATATCATTTCAGCGATAAAGATTATCAAAGTCAGAGCCCATACTCAGAAAAGTACATTTTTGAAAACATTCCAATTTTTGAACTTATATTTTCTTATAAAATCCCGTAACTATCATAAACTTAATGGTATATTTTGACAGCCCTGATTACGTTATTTCTATTGCAGTTGGCTTGGTGGAGATATTCCATTCCGGTCGGGATATATGGGAAAAATGATCAATTTGATTGTTCAGTAGTTGAAGGTGCTTCTGTGATGGTATCACAAAGAGATGGAATATAACCTGAAAGTCTCAAACAAACTCGATGTGAATCTGGTCAACACTAATGCCTATATCGATCGAGAATGATCGATTGGTGTTACAGTGCAACCGCTTAAGGTGTGGCTTGTGAATTCTATTGCTACGGAGGTAAGCAATGGCTCAAGCGTTGCTCGCGCATGA